CTCTGCTTCTGGAGACCCAACCTCAGGCACCCTACTCTGCTCCCTGCCCACAGTGAGCCACAGACCAAGAGCCTGGCTTACCCACCAAGCTCCTGGCTCCGAGCAAACCTTAATCACTAGACTCAATCCATTTTGCCCACGGTTTTGCCGTGGACAGAAGAGGAGAGGTCAGGTGCTTGACTCCTGCAGAGCAGGCACTATGGTGTGAAGAACTCGAGAAAGATAAACTTTTTCTGGGCCAGGGGATGGAAGCCAAGGGAGCGCTCGGGAAGAGAGGCTTCAGATCTGGTCAGTGTGGAGCCCACCGGCCGAGTCCCTCCCATTCCTGCCTCCCTGCTCCAGGCCTGTTTGAAGTCCGTGGGCCGCTGGTCTGCTGGATGGACAGCATTTGTAAGCAACTCTCTCCCCAGCCCAGTTAATAATTCAGGAGCCAGTGCCTGCAGCCAACCCATCATTCCAACCCCGCTGCACCCCGAACGCCAAGCTAGTGGACAGGAAAGAAAAAATCACCGTACCCGCTTGAAAAATGGTCCTTGCTTCAAGTGCTTGCTGCATCCCCTGAGCTGGGGTGGGAGAGAGCTGAGCCGAGACGGATCTGCTGGGCAGACAATGAGAGAAGTGTGGAGCTGTGCCTGGGGCTCAGGCGTGCATGCCGAACGGTATTTAATTTTCGGATCCTGAGCCACGTTTGTTTTTGGACAGTGGGATGTAGTCGCTGGGGTACAGGCCTTGGAGGATCCATCTTCTTTCTTCTGATTCAGCTATTCATCCTTCACTCACTGTTTCTCATTCATTCATTCATTCGGCAACCATTGCTGCCACTAACAGGGAAGTGGCATTGAAGATACAGAGGGGGCTGGGGGAGTGACACCTGTCCTCAGGGAGGCAGACACATACAGTGGGAGGTGCCACACTTAAGGGGCTCGAGACAAGAAACAGCTAGCTGGCTGGGGGCTCTGCGTCTGGGGGCGGCCTGTCGCCTGGGTATGTCAGGACCCTAAATGTCCAAAGCAGGGAGGGCAGGGTAGAGAGGTTAATGGTTAAGATCATGGACTCAGGGGCCACAGCGCCTGGGTTCAAATCCCAGCCCCACCACTCACTCACACAGAGTTGGCCTCGGTGTGCCTCAGTTTCCCCATGTGTAAAACAGAGTTAATAATGGGAGACTGAGACAAACGACTTCTTACTGTTAAGACAATGATCAGAGACTTTGAGAGTGAAATGAAAAATCCAAACTCTGTCTTTGTCAGACGAAGACTGGCGACTATAAAGTAAAGCCACCTTTGGAAAGTGACTGGGCGGGTTCTTATGAAGCCAAACACATGTCCCAGCCTGTGGTCCCACCCGTGGGTATTCACCCAGATGAAATGATCTGGGGTGGGAGGAACTGACCAAAAGGGGCAACGGGGGATTTTTGGGGCGCAATGAAACTATTCGGTATTCAGGGTGTGGTGGTGGATGCCTGACCCATCTATGTGCGTGCTTGTCAAAAATCCATAGAACTGTACACAAGAAAGGGAACATTTTGCTGCATGTGAATTATGAGAGGTTTGAGGTGGTATATATGGAGGTTTTGGAGGAAGTAGCAGGAGTCCAGGGGAGGAAAACATAGTTAGGTCAGTTTGTTGAAGAGCCTTGAATACCATGTCAGATCCTTTGGACAGTGGGAAGATTCAGAAGTTGTTTTTTTTTTTTTAAAGATTTTATTTATTTATTTGACACACAGAGAGAAAGCACAAGTAGGCAGAGAGGCAGGCAGAGAGAGAGGGAGAAGCAGGCTCTCCACTGAGCAGGGAGCCGGACGTGGGGCTCGATCCCAGGACCCAGGGATCATGACCTGAGCTGAAGGCAGCCACTTAACCGACTGAGCCACCCAGGCGCCCCGATTCAGAAGTTTTTAAGCAGTTAAGGAATATAAGCAGGTTTTTGTTTCGGAAAGATCACTGCGTTCTCTGTTTAGACGCAGAAGCCTTTGAATGTGTGGCCCTGAGACTGCCTTCAGAAATTTTCATCCATCCTCCCCCTTTTTGGAAAGAATTTGAATTTGTGACCCACATTGAAAAATCAGGAGATCTTACATATAGAATTCTGGATTTCTGGCTTTTCTTTGATGGGATGCATGTCCTCCAGTAGGGCCGAGCCCCGTATCTACTCCCTTGTAGTAGCTTTCTGGCCCCTGCGGGTGTCTGTTTTAGACCCCAGGGGATGAAAGTGCGTTTGAGGGGGAACAGATCAAGGGCAGCGGTGCTTCCTGGCCCGGGCAGAACATGATCATCACCCGGGGAACTTTAAACCCTACTGGTGCCTGGGCATCTGCATCTTGTAAATGTTCCCCAGGTGCTTCTACTGTGCAGCGGGGGCTGGGAACCACTGGTCTGGGGGGAAGAGGACAGCCTGGAATAGGGGGGCAGCAGTGAGGGAGGGGAGGTGTTAGGGACTGATGGGACATGGGGCTGAGGCAGGGGCAGGGTCCAATGTGACAAGGGCCCCCGCTGGAACAATGGGGTGGGATGATGTCATTTGCTGAGAAGGGACGCAGGAGGTGGTCGAGGAAAGGGGGTGAGCTCGTTTTGGCCACACTGTGTCCAGGGAGTCTGTGGCCTCCGGTGTGCGGTTGTCTAGTGTTGCTGTGCTTACAACTTTGCCTCTGTGTACCCTCTGTCCTCCTCTGAGACAGGAGAGCCAGGCAGCAATGGGGGTGTGGGGAGGGAAAGCAGCCCCAGAGCCTCCCCAGAAGATCCCCCTCCCCCAGGGCCTGCCTGCGGACAAGGGCTCCCTTGGGCAGGGCTGGGGGCGGGGAGCTCCTCTGGTCTGCCTGGGTCATGGGTGCTCTGCCCCTGCTGAGCGATTTTGCCTGGACAAAGTGGGGGAGAATGTACTCAAAGGCACTCATGCTCGAGAGGAAGGGCCCCACCAGTCCAGACATGCTGTGCCCTCAAACCCAGAACCACTCACCCCTGAAACCTAACAAACCATCTGCTGATCCGTCCTGACTTCTAAGCAGATGCTATAGCTCCATTGTTTTTTTGGGGTTTTTTTTGGGGGGGGGTTGTTGTTGTTGTTTGTTTCTTTTTTTTTTTTGGTCAAGAGTACATGGTCTGTGTTAGCAGTCATGATCCTTTGTGTGCTGTGAGTGAAGCTAAGGCAGGAACCACTCTGCCCGTTTACAGACAAGCGAGGAAAGGGGAGGAAGCAAACATTTAGGACCTACTACTTGCCAGGTAATTCATAGACATTTTCACGTAATTCACAGAACCATCCTACCTATATATGAAATAGGGGTTATTGTTCCCATTTTCCAGATGAGGAAACCGAGCCCAGAAAATGTAAGCATTTTGCCCCAGATCACCAGCCTGGAGGTAGCAGAATTGGCAGCTGAGCCCTCCTCTCAACACGGTTCTTTGGCGTATTTGCATTTGTCACTGTGACCTCGGCGGGAACACACACAAATGCACACTTTCAGCCTCTCCAGACACCTTTTATTGTCTTTGGTGCCCCCTCCGCTTTCCTTCTGGAACCTAGTGGATGTCTTCGTGACTCTCTGACCTCCGCCCCTCAGTGGACACACCTCCCCAGGGTCTGCGTGGTCAGCCCCTGGGGGAGGGCTTTATTGTCCTGAGAAGGGGCAGATGGAGGTCTCAGCCTTCCCACCCACCTAGGAGACGTTCACTAAATGGTGCAGAGCTGTCTCATCCCAGCCCTTCTGGGCTGATTTGGTTTCTGTCACCATTAAGCATTGATCATGGCATTGTCTTGCCATAGGAAGCACTGTCCCTACCATCTCAACAAAGACAATTTCTGGCCTCCTCGTCTCTACCTCCTCTGAGATGCACGTAGAGACAGAGATGGGGCATCGGGGAACGTTTGCTCCTGGGAAGATTCTGGGCTGAAACTACCTGGCAACAGTGCTTAAAATTAAAGGGAGAAGCTCACTTGGAGGATGCTCTTCAGGGATGGGGCTCCTTGAACACAGCCATCGTGAGCGTCCTCTCTGGATGCTGCTGGCTCTTGTGGGCAGCTCATCTTACAGAGCTTGGTAGAGATCCAGCTCCCCCAGGGCTGTGGTCCCCCATGGATGGTGTTTCCTTCAGCTGGCTCTCGATGTGGACAGTCCCAGCCAAGACTGGTGCTTGCTTCTTTTGAGCTTATCATGACTGGTGTTGGTTGTAGATGGTGTTCATCACTTAGCATGGTTTCTCCATGGGAGGTTCTAACTTCAGATGGTTCTAAATAGAGTTGGTATTTGCTGCTGATCACAGCTGTCCCCACCGATGGGTTTTGGCACCGGTGACCCCACCATGATGGTTCTCAGTACAGATGGTTTTGCCAGTGATGGATCCTGTTAGGGCTGGCTCATCACTGGGGCTCACAGTGGTTTGGCCAGTGGAGGTGGATGCAGGTGAACCCAGCACCGACGGGTCTTTATACAGCCGTTCTTCTCAACAGTGGTTCTCAGTAGAGATGGTCTCACCGTTGATTGCTGATTGTCGGTGTAGATGGTGCTCATCATCCATAGTTCTCGCTACACACGACCCTGCTGCTGATGGTTGTTGCTACAAATGGGGCTATCCAAGTTTCCAACACAGTCAGTGTATACTTTTTTAAAGGTATTTGCTCTGGCAATAACCGCTCTGGGTGAAGTCTAGGTTTGCTGGGCCGTTACATCTGTATTTTTCAAGAACCTGGTGGCCGGCGAGCCGACTCATAAAGGCATGCACATCTGGGCGGGCTGCTCCCCCTTGGCGGCCTGGTCGCCGGCTTTGGCCTTGTCCCCAGACTTGTCCTCCTGAAGACTGGTGTTACTTTTCACCCCACCTTGCACATTACCGTCCGCCGGGATGTCTGGGCAGCTGCTGGCCTGGCTGGCGGGAAGGCTGTGGGCAGAGCTGAGCAGCCCGCTACTCACCTGGTAGTTCAGGGCGCTGCTGCCCAGGCTGATGAAGCTCATGCTGGTCAGGCTGCTGGCCCTGCTGCTGATGCTGCTGCTGGGCAGGCTGGCCTCACTTTTCCCCTCCAGCCTGCCTGCTGCCGCGGGCTTGGCCGGCCACCTGGCTCCTGATCTGGCTGGGCGCGCAGCTGGCTTCTCGGGGCGCTGCCTGCCTGGGTGTGGAGCCTTCTCGGCAACCTTAAGATTGGAGTGTTGCCCACCAGGCTGACCTCACTGTTCTCTTCATCGCCCGCGTACCCGCTGCTCAACAGGCTGGTGTCACTTGCCTTGCATTTCCCCTGGCTGGACTGTCGCAGGCTCAGCAACCCGCTCTCACTGCTCCATGGGTTTCCCAGGTTACCCCTCGAAACTCTCAGGGGCTCCTGAGTTGCTCCTGTGTCATGGTGTGGCCACGCCGGGGGCTGGGGCTCTACGCTGGGGGCCGGGAGGCTTGGAGCTTGGCCCTGAACATTCCAGGCAGCAGACTCCCCGTTTCTACCCTCGAGGAAGGTGGGGGGCAACTGATCTGGTTTATCCAGGGTGTGGGGGCCCTGGGAGGCCTATGAATGGTAGGTCTGGTTTGTCTGGGGAGAGGAGGCTCAATTTATAGGGTGGCCTTTCAAAGGGGAGTGTTCTGATTGGCTGGCCTGGTTCCCATGGCGAGGGGTTTATGAGGCGGGGTAGGGGTGGGAAGGACAATGCTCTCCCCGCACCAGTTACATTAGTGGCTGGGGCTGGGCATGGGCAGAAAAGGGGCTTAGGGCCAGAGAGTGGGGAGACCCACTTTCCTGGGGACACTTCCTGCAGGGCCTGTGGCCTCTGCTTTGCCATGTCAGGAGACCTGGGTGCGCATCCCAGCCGAGCCCCTTCCGAGCTGTATTCCTTTAGGATGGCACTTCTTCTGAGACGCTTGTGCCATTCCGAGACCACTGGGAGGCCTGGGGACCATATGACAGTCAGGAGTTTATCCTAAATTCTTTGCTGGATCTCCAAGGGCCTGGCTGGTCTGGCTCCTCTCTCTCAGCCTGGTCCCACGTCACACCCTCCCCATTCCTCACTTCAAGGAGGCGTCGCACTGGCTGTTTTCTTATTCTGAGCTCTGACCCCCTGCAGAGCCTTTGCACCGGCTGTTCCCACCACCTGGAATGCTCTTCCCTCAGCCCCTTGGCCTTCAAGCTTCAGCTCCAGTGGCCCCCAGGAAGTGTCCCTGGCTTCTACAAGAAGGTCCCTCTATTAGTCTTCGTGTCACTTCCTTGTGTCACGAAACACAATTTGCAAGTCTTTTTATGTGTTGGTTACTGAGTGCCTGTCCCCTCTGCTAGAATATCATCTTTGCGAGGGCTGAGATTTTGATCTCTTATTCTCTGCTGTGCCCCCCACGCCTAGCATACTGCCTGGGACATAGTAGATGCTCATTAGGCATTTGCTGAATGTATGAATGAATTAACTGCTCTAGGGTGTGCATCCCAACCACCTAGGGAACTTTTTCTTTTTCTTTTTTATTTATTTATTTTTAAAGATATTTTATTTATTTATTTGACAGAGAGAGATACAGCAAGAGAGGGAACACAAGCAGGGGGAGTGGGAGAGGGAGAAGCAGGCTTCCCGCCGAGCAGGGAGCCCGATGCGGGGCTCAACCCCAGGACCCTGGGATCATGACCTAAGCCGAAGGCAGACGCTTAATGACTGAGCCACCCAGGCGCCCCTCCTAGGGAACTTTTTTAAAAAACACGTTTGGATTTTCTAGGGCAGTGGTCCTCTCCCCTGGCTGCACCCCTAGGCATCCCTAGGGTCCCACTTCCAGAGGTTCTGAGTTAATTGATCTGGGTGAGGCTTTGGCATCAGAATTTTAAACCACTCTCCAGGTGGTTCGAACGTGCAGCCAGCACTGAGAACTAGGGTGCCAGGAGGCGAGGCTCAGCCAGATGCACTGCTTGTAGATGATTCTGTGGCTACCCTGGCTAAGTAGTATTGTGGATGAGAACACCCACTGGGGCGCTTATTAGCGGACACTGAATAGATTTCCACTGAATGACTGAATTAAAACAAAATTCATTGACCCTTAAAGGGGTCATAGGTGGGTTTCAAGGACTGGGGGAATTTGTTGAAATTGTAGTAGACTTTGCGATGAGCTACATATATGCTTTCCCACCAGAAAGGAGTCACAGCCTTTGTCAGATTCTTAAAGGTATCCACGATCCTCCTAAGATCAAGAAGCATAATGATTCAGCTCAACTCTTGCCTTAGCATTTGGGAGACAGCTGGCCCTGGTGCTTGGCCTGATGGTATGGATCTGGAGAGGGCTGGCTGGCTGTGTTTGGGATGCAGGGGGTGGGGAGGAGGAAGGCAGTCCTTGGAGAGTGCGCCACTCAGCCCCTTGGCAGTCATCCGTGCGTCATGCGTTGGTGCTAATTATCACTGTCATCTTTATTACGAATTCCTTTCCCATTGCCCGGGGCCATTCAGCTTCCCTCTGCTGTACACAGAGGCATCTCTTTTGCTGTGGAAATTCTGATCCTTTTGGGATATGAGGGGCTTCTCATAGCTGTCTGGCTCCCTGTCCCTTCCTTACGTTCCCTGCTAGAGACCGCGAGGGAAGGGACAGACACAATGGCTAAGCAGTGACTCCGGAGGAGGCGGTGTGGTGGGATCCAGCCATCGTGACAAGCGGGGACCAGGTCTAGCTTTAGGGGGCTGGCAGGAGAGAGGCATGGTTGGGCTCCAGGCAGGTAGGCTGGGGCTCAAGACTGGCTCTGCGCCTGCATGAATACAAAGCAGGGCAGGTGCCCCAATGCTGGGGATTAATGGGGAGCCGACTGGGAGTCATATTCTCTCCTGTCCCCATCCTACCTGCCCCAGGCACAGGACACATGGGCCAGAGGACTGTAGTGAACACCTGAGGGTTTTTGCAGGGACCAGAGCCTTCCCTACTCTCTGGCTCATGTAACCAGAGTCAGTAGTAGCCCGTGGATACGGCAAGGCCGTGTCAATGGCCGTGTCTTGGCCCAGCACTCTCCTTCTGAAGGTTGTTCTTGAAGTCTCAGGAAGGCATCTCAGGCGAGCTCTTTATTCTTTGGGTCCAGTCTTCTCATTCCTGCCTGCACCTGAAGCCACCTGAGGGTGGTGCCCTTGTCCCTGCGCAGGCTAGGGGTCAGACCAGAGCTGCCCCGCCTGGATGCTGTTTCAAGACCCCCCCCCAGAGGTGCAGGTGCTTGAGGGCCAAACAGAGCAGCACCCTTCTGAGCCGCAGTGTGTCTGGGGAGAAGGGGGCGGGGCGGGGGGGTGCTTCCCCACAGGGCCCTTTCTCTTTCTGGGGACGGGGTACCAGCTGCCTCTCTGGTTTCCAGTCTTTCTTGCTGTCTGCCCCACCCCGAAACCCCTCCAGGGCCTACACACATATTCCAGCCTCTTTCTCCAGGTTTCCTTTCCTTCATGACTTTCAGATACTTCATACAGATGACGGGCACCCACAAGACCTCAGCCTGCGTCCCAGGCAAGGCTCAGACAGGAAACCTGGCTACAGATCCCAGGATCTGTGTGTCCCGGAGACCGGTCCCTCCCTGATGTGACAGACAACGCTCCATGTTCCCCAGACCATCCCAGTTCTCTCCTCGGCCCGTAGGAGAAATACAGGTCTAACCCGCTGCGTCTAGGTGGGGCCGTTAGGGCAGGGGCGGCAGGCCGGGGATAGAAACCTCTCCCGTGCAGCTGCCTCACTTCTTCCGTTCTGCGGGGGCCTTGGAAGCCACGCGGCAGGCCCCACAGTGGATGGAGCCTGGGTCCCTGAGTGGCTGTGTGCGTGGAGAAGCCCTGCCCGCCACCAAATGCCTTTGCACTGTCGGTGAGCAGTGATTTCTATGCTTGGCCGCCACGGCCGGGGGCTTGTTCCTTACCATGGCAGAGTCCGCCTCCCACGCACTAATGTGCCCCGTGCCCACACACCCGCCAATGCACTTCACTGGGTTGAGCTTCCTCTCTGAGAGGGTCTGCAGTGGCCCCCGGAACTGCCTTCCCACCCCGACGTCTACCCTCAGGAGCTCAGCATCCAAGTACCCTGATGGGGATGAGAAAGAGCTTCACCAGCCCGGAAAATAGCCCCCTCCCCTTAATCCTAATATTTATCCTGAATATTCCAGCAGAAGCCCTGGCTAAGTCGGGCATCAGTTCTCTGGGTATGACACACTGTGATCACTTCGAACTCAGGGAGGTGTAAAAATATTTCCTGACGTCCTATTCGGGCTTCCCTCCCACCAATACTTGCTAAGTGCCTGCCCTGCGTCAGGCTTGGGAGGGGCTGTGACCTCAGGGATGGATGGAAAGATGTAAACAAGTATTTGCTGTGTGATCATAAATGTGAGCAGGGCGCAAGGACAGAGATGGAGGACGTGTGCGCGCGCACATATTATGTGCGTGTCCATACGTGCATGTGACCATTGCAGGCCACTGTCCCTTGGGCAGAGCCACCTAGCACCAGGAGGAGAGGTCATAGAGGCAGCCATGGGGAGGCTGGGATCTGTGGCTCCAGCGAGCTGGAAGCCGCTGCAGACTTTTCAGCAGTGATGAGTGGACTGGAGTTTGAACAGGCTGCCGTGGCGGGGGTGGGGGCATTAGGGATGGGAAGATGGGGCCGGGAGCTAGTTAGCGCTAGCACAGGAATCCCGGGAGTAATGGGGAGGGCCTGGACCACACAGTGGTAGGAGAGCTGGACAGCAGTGCTGGGAACCAGGGTGTATGTGGAAGGCAGGGCTCGACGAGAGACTGGATGTGGGGTTTAGAGGAAGAGTGGGGTCAAGGCCAGCTTGTGGGGTCCAGGAGCCTCTGGATCAGGGGCGATATGGCCTTCTAGAAATGACACAGCTTCCTTCTGAAGCACACGGAGTGGTGTACACCTCACTAATGGCCGAGAGGAGGGGCTGAGCTTAGGGGCTCAGAAGTCAGATCAACATGAGTTCAAGCCTCAGCTTCCCCACTTTGGAGCTGTGCTTAATGATGCCCCAAATGGGTGGTGGGGATTACATCTTCCACAAACATTAACTGACAGGAAATAAACGGGAAATGCCCTGTGAGACCCTCAAGAGACAGCCAGGAAGAAGTACCTCCCTGGGTGGACCTCACAATTGAGAGTCGGCGGGGAGCACCGGCGCAGCGGGAGGGGGTGGGTGGGAGGGTAGCCTGGACAGGGCTCCCTGAATAGCGTAACTGTCCCTCTCCATCTTGGGGCTCTGGCGTGCCATGGGTCACATCCTGCGTCCTCCATCCAGGTGACATCGTGTGACCAAACTAACCTCTCTGAACCCCAGCTTCCCGGCCTGGGAAATGGAGCAACACTGGTCATAGCACTGCTGGGAGGGATGCCCTGAGGACTGACAGGAAACATCTGGCCAGGGTCTGCCTGGAGCTTCCAGCACACGACCTCATGGAACCTTCTACTTTAAGACGGAATATAGGTGTTCGTGTGAAAAAAAAAAACAACCACATAAATGCATACACAAGTGTATATGCATACATACACATCTATATGAATATATACATGAGTACATATGTGTATGTATGCAAATACATTCACAGTATATGTGTTTATATAGAAATACATAAGAATATGTGTAGAGATGAATATACACATAAGAATATATATCCATATGCATATATACATACATAAGTATATCCGCATAAAGACATACATAAGGATATATAAACACGCACACTTTCTGAAACCACGAAACCCTCTGGCCTTCAGCATCACCCTGTAGGGGCACCCGCTCTCCCCTGAGATTCTCCACGCAGAGCACTCTTATCCCAGAGCCTCCCCTGCGATCCTGTGATGGATGCCTTGTTCTCTTTCCAGAAGGCCCCATCATCGGGCCCCATGTGGGCGAGGACCTGCATTTGCTCCCTATAGAGTGCTGCCGTGTGCTCCCGGGGCCGTGAGGTGAGTGCTCCACCAAGAGAGAGTCCAGTGTGGGCAGGTGAGCATGGAGAACTCCCTGGACTGGTGCTAGCGCGGTGGAAGGACTGTGTAGGGAGGACATGTTGCTCATCAAGCCCCGTGCTGGACGTTGGCGTGCATGTTCTCATTTAACCTCATTCCGTCTTCCGTCCGCCCCGAAGCCCAGCTCCTGACTGCCTGCTTGTCCTGGGGATAGTGAGAGGCATTCTTAGGGGCCCGAATTGGGGGGCACCTCCCTACTCAGGTGCACTTGGCACTTGAACAGGTGGGAGCCGGGGCTGGACCTGGGTCCCTGATGGCAGGACCTGGGACTTTCTACCTTCTCCAGGGAGCCAGACAAAGAGCCAGCTTAGCCATGGCCTGGAGGGATGATCTGTCTAGGAAGAAAGGTAATTCTTCCTCTGGGTTGGTCATGTGATTGATCTCCCTCCCCAGCTGTTAAAATTATTTGAGACATACAAAAACAAAAGGGAAGAATAAGGTGAACATCCGTGTCATCCTTGTATTCATCACTCAATTCAAGAAAGAAGACAATAGTGACAAACCTCCGAACCCATTTACCCCTCCCCATGGTGTCCCTCTGGGGCAATCCAGAATCTCATGCTCATCATTGACTTTGATGCACATCTTAATACTTGGACTATAAAAGGACGTATCCCTAAACCAACATGGAATTGTTCTGCATGCTATTAATCTGGATATAAATGGAATTCTTTATGTCCGCTTCTACAACTTATGCTCGACATTACGTGTGTGAGATTCATCTGTGCTATGTGCGTGGCTCACGTTCATTTTCACTGCCGTGGAGTGTTCTATTGGTGAATGTCATAATCCATCCATTCTAACTGATGGACATTCAGGTCATTTCCCCCTTCTCCCTCACAGTAAGTGTGCCTTTACGTGTGTCTCTTACAGGACATTTTCCCTGCGGATTTCTGGGGAGTCTCCTGCCAAACAGACTATGGAAGCTTTAACTTGTTTTAATTGCACATAATGAATAGAGCAGACACTTCTCCTCAACCCTTGGGCCTCATCTCTCTGAATGTTTCTATGAGGTTCAGCCTAGGGATGGGCTGAATCACTGGGCTGCCTGCGGCCTGCATTATTTGGTCATAAGACACGGCCATTCAGAATGTTCAGCTTCAGCCGAAGATGGGGTCACAGAGTTGCCTGACATGGGCGGGGTGAGGGGTTGGGGGGCGGCAGGAAATGAGAGGAGGCTGGGGTGGCTGAAAGCTCAGGGCTCATCACCCAGCTCCTGTAATCTGTGGCAAAACAATAGTCTTGTGTTCTTCATTGTGGACTCAGTGTGTGGGGGAGGGAGAGGGAGGATGAAGGAGAGGCTGCCTGAGGATGAGGAGGGACACAAATATTCCCTAGATCAAGCCTAGAACTGTACAGCAAAGTAACCAAGCCCTCAGTATCTGAAGCCAGAGGTCTGAGTTTAAATCCGGGGCATACCACTTCTCAGCTGTGTGATCCTGGGCAAGTTCCCTAACCTTTCTGTCCCAGTTTGGGTTCCCTCGAAAGCAGCCCTGAGGCATGGACTTGGATCCAGTAGTTCATTTGGGAGGTGGCCCTGGGAAGCCCCATGAAGAGAAGGGGCAGCAAGACAAGGAGGGAAGGAAAGCCAGTGAAGGGGGTGTTGTAGAGAAGGTGCCCGTCGGCTTGGGCCCCTGCTTCTGGGCCTGTCAGAGGCTGTGTAGAGCGCATCTCTGGCTCAGCCTGGAGGTTTCACCGGCTCCCTGAGCAAGCCTCTGGGGTGCCCGAAGAAGTCCTGAGGCGGAGGGGGGCAGGGGGAGGAGGGTAGCAGGTGCAGTGCTTGGGTGAGCAGCCGTCATTCAGCACCATCCGTACCTGAGGCTGTGACCCCAGAGGGTCAAGAGGACATGGATGGAGGCTTGTCTGCCAGAGTTGCCTTGTCTGCAGGCTGATTGTTCCTTAGGTTGTTGCGAGGGTTCCATGAGGCCAGTAAGCACTCAGTAAGCACTAAGTGTCAGGAGCCTGCCTTGTGCTCTCCCAGGTTGTGGGAGGACCTGCTTGGACAAACGGAAGCCTGGAGAGATGAGGTGAAATAGACTCTGGCCACCAAAGTACTGACTGGATAGCAGGGCCATGATTTGGGCCTGAAGGCCTTCTTAGAGAAAGCTGTGTCTCCTACAATGGGGGCTTCAGGCTGCAGGGCATGGAGAGGTCAACACCCCCAGAGCTCGATGCCAGCCTCAGGCGGCACACAAGTATTGATCGGGGTGGGTCTCAGGAGCCCACCAGAGGGAGACCAGTGCCCCCCCCAAGGCAGGGGGGAAGGGGGATCCCTCTCTGGCTAGCAGAGGTCGCTAAGCACAGAACCCGGGGCAGTAACCAGTCTGCGGCAATTAATGTTCAGTACGTGACCGAGGGGGTTTCTGGGATGTGGGACTTTTCTGTCTTAAAACTGAACAGTACTGACTAACCTGGGATGAGCTGGCCGTCCTAACCTGAGCTGAAGTCACATGTCATCAGTATGAGCTCTGAAAAACGATTTCACCGGTCAGGCCCACAGTTTTGTGAAGAGATTCCTCCTCAGACATTCTCAGGCACACTCAAGCTTGAGAACCGTCTGGTGAGGCGCCAGGTTGTGGGAAGTCCATTCTCTTGCCAGCCCTCGGGCTCTAAACCACCCGCAAGCCCTGGGTGGTGTGGCGGCTCTGGGCGAGGGCTCTGTGGTGTGAGCTCTGGGGTCGGACAGACATGGCCTCCACCCAGGCCCTGCCTCCCACCGGCTGTACCAGCTGGACCAGTGACCCAGACCTCCTCAGCCTGCTTTCCTCTTGTGAGCAAGGGGGCCAGTAAATGCTCTTGATGGCCTTGAGGTTGGGGAGGGTGGGTGTGCTGACAGTGATGAGGCCCCAGAGCCTGGAGGAGGCACGCATGTTCCAGAAGGTTTTGCTGAATGAATAAATGGAGAGCCTCTAGAGCAGTTGACTGATGCTTGGGGCAAGTTCACTAGGTTTAATTACTCTTCTTCTTCTGTTTTGATATAAAACCTCTTTATCATCAACAGAAGGCAAGCCACGACGTGCTCATTTTGGAGGTGGATTAAATGAGAGAGTAGGGTTGTATCTCACCCAGGTGCTGCTGAGTCCTCAAGCCAGAGGGACTGGAACGCGGGTTGGGCGGGATTCTGGTGCTGGGGTGGGGTGTCAGGGCGGGGGAAGCTTTGGAGAACAGCCCGGGCTTATGAAGTCCCAAGTGACAGATGAGGAGACTAAGTCTCAGTGAGCAGAAGGCATTACCTAAGGCCGCGTGGCTGGTATGCAGCGGGGCTAGGGTTCGACCCCGTCTTCTGGCTCCCGGTCCAGTCTACTCCAGGGGGCACCCGGCATTATAGGTTCACAGATAGGGACGCAGGTTCTCAGAGCGGGGAAGCGTTGCCTGAGCCACGAAGCAGGTGGGGGGCAGAGCTTGAGGGAGAGGCCACTCGTGTCGTGGAAGGCTCGGTGTGGAAAGTGTGGGGGCTGCGAGCTCAGGGACATCGAGAGTGGCAGCATGGCACAGCAGGACCGGGAGGGCCCCAGCAGCCGTCGCCCCCAGGCACTCTGGACTCTGGTGCCTCAGTTTCCCTGTTTGTAAAGGGAGGCAATGCTGCCAACTGCCTCTCTCCCTGGGCTTTTGGGGTGCAGGTGGGGAGCCCCCTGAACTCCTGGAGGAGAAAGCATCACCCAGGCCGCAGTCAGGCCCTGGCCACCTGCCCTGTGGCTCCCTGGCGCTTCTCAATTAACCCCCACCCAGGCTGCTCACAGGCAGAGTGCATCAGCGAGGGCTTGGCTGGCCCCGAGTTAGCACAGCCGGGGCTGTCCTTGGAAGGAGGCCACTGCTGAAGGGCCGGCTTCCTTTTCATCAAATTATTCCTCCACGTTCGCAGAGTGGAGGAATTATTGGCAGAAAATGAGGCTATAAAACCGTGCTAGAGCCGAGCACCTTTTAGGGGCCCTGAACGCTGAGCACTTGGATGCTTTCCAGCAGATTGGTTCATTTTTAATGGTCTAGGACTATAGTTCATCTGTTTAATTCAAACGAGATGACATAATATCTTTCATTTGGACTTATTACCAGCACGGTGGTGATTCAGCTCCCAGCATTCTCTGGGCAGGATATTCTGTCATTACTGCACATTTTCTTTTTCTGGCCAAATTGAAAGTCCGCGGGAAGGGCTCTAGCCTTGGAAAGGAGAGATCAACCGAGAATAGGTCACATCAGGTATTAAGGAATGAAAATGAATTCATTCTTTCCTCCATTGAATAAGCAGCTGTACTTGCGTCTCTGTGATCCATGAAATAGGCTGTCAGGAAAATAGGAAATGGGCTGCATTTGAACTTCACCTGCTGATTCTGCCCCGTTGCCTTGGAGACTGGTACTGCAGCTGGGGCAGGGGCAGGAGGGGCGCTCATTCATGGGGCACCCACCCTACGCCAGACACCTGGCTTCAGCGGTCCTGGGAGGGGGAGCCGCCTACGATCCCCATTTTGTAGATGAGGACATCAAGGCTCAGAAAGATCCAGAGACTTGCTCAAGGTCACTTAGGCACAGAACCCGGCTTCCGCTTGAGGTGCCCAGCATCACGGCTGGGAACTTGGCCTGAAGAACCTCAAACCCTCACTCTCCCGTGGGCAGGCTGTTTGACCTCAGGAATCAGCTTGCTACATGGTAGAAATACCCACGGTCACTGTCCTGCAGTGAGGGTGACCTGAGGGAACGGATACCTTGGGCTCGGCACCATGTCTTTGTTGTTACGAACTTTCGCTTTTTCCATGTGTCCGATGATGGAGCGCAAGAAGGAAGCCTGGAAAGCAAGTGACTTGCCCTAAGACCTAGTGCAAGTGGGTCACGGGGCTGGGAGCTGTCCTTGGAGTGACCCAAGAGCCCCTGTGCCTTCTGCTACACTGGGTAGTAGAGAGTCTGGTGTGGGGAGGGGGTTTGGAGATGTTTACAATGGAATTACTCTCTTCTCTGCTTTATTTCCCTCCATCAGACCCTTCACCAGCCCTCTATATTTGACTTGGTTATTTGGTTCATGGTTTGTCTCCCACGCATCCTAGCATTTATATGAGGGACGGACCGGTTTTGATCAGGTCACTGTTGTATCCCCAGTGCTTAGAATCCCGGGCTGGGGATGGGTGAGGCAGGTGAGGCAGGTCCTGCAAGCGCAGGCTTAGATCCTCTCTGTGATTAAAATTTGGATGTTTTGTTCATTGTAGATACTTTTGCATTCATTTTTATTTTTAATGATATTGCATAAAAGTATTGGTTATCCTGATTTCTGAGTTGTTTTTATCATTCTCTTCAATTTTGCACTTGAGTTGAGTACCCCACTTGTCTTACCCTAGTCCCAGTTCTGCCCTAGAACAGTGCCTGTCACCTACCGATATTCAGTAAAGATTTGTAGAACGAATGATGCCCTATTACGTATCAGGACATTTCCTGAGTTCCCAGGGAAGTTTTCCAATGGGTATTCCAGGCTCTTTGGGTCTGAAGGAAGCCAGAGCCCCACACGGAGCTGCTTTTATTTGGCTCCATAATCTGGGGATGGCTGAGTATTTCTGCTAGTGGTGAGCTAAAGAATAAGGGCGTGTCCCTTCCAGGATCTGACTGAGGAACCCATTAGAACTCAGACCTCTACGACTGCCTAAATGGGAGAACGGAATGCAAGAAATCCACGGGGCTCTGAAAACCTACATGGAATTTCATGCTGTCATTATAGACCACTGCACTTCTCCCTCTCCTGGATGTGTCTTGCAATTAAAAGCCACATCGATTTGTACTGACAATCGTTAGCGTAATGAGATCCAGCTGTATGTGCTACTAATCCCCTTCTCCGAGGTTGAGCACACCTGGGCTGAGCCAGTTCACGCTCTGCTGTGATACCCGAAGCTCCATTTCGATGAAATAGCGGATCTTGCCTCTACCTTTGGCTTTATTTCCCTCCAAAGCTGAGGCTCCATCGAGATGCATTTTTCTAATTAAGGCGGGAGTAAGAAATAACCTCCTATATAATTTAAAATGGTAAAATCATCGATACCTTTTCCAGCCTCAGCTTTAAATCTTAGCCACCAATGACTCCCCTATTAACGGGCCTAATTAAATCGATTTTTCAGGACGTCTTTGGCAAATTCCATTTTAGTAAAACTGTAGGAAGCTCAGTTTGATGTGTCTCTGCTTCCCAGGACTCTCCTATGAAAATGAGGACGGGGTGGATGCTTATCTCTTGTGTCTCATATTCATTGATTCACTCGACAAATATTTACTGAGCACCTACTATGTGCATTGGCATTGAACTAGAAGAGGAGGAAGGAGAAGTGAAAAGATAATACATTTCCTATCCTAATGGCCAAAAGGGAACGGGGCTCATTCATTCATTCATTCATTCAACAAACATGTATTGAGTCTACCAACAGTCTACTAACTGTGCTAAGCCCTGGTGTTGGGGTGATGAGGTGCTGCAGACAGTTCATACTCAATGTGGTAAATGTTCTGATAGGCTAAAGCAGAGGGGACTGTGAGAGCTCAGAGGACATCTCCTAGCTCAGACTGGGAAGCTGGGGGTCAGGAAGCTTCCCCAGAGCTGAGCTTTAAGGGATAAGTAGGTGTCAGCCATGTGAAGCAAAGAGACAGGAAGGTGTTGCAGGAGCAGGGGTGGATGGGCACGAGGCATGGGAGAACATGGGATGTGTGGGGAATTTTAAGCCGTTCACTGTGGTTAGGGCACTGTGGTTAGGTCTGGGCCCTCTCAGCTCTGGGGGCACATTGGAATCACGTGGGGCCTTTGAAAAATACCAGTACCTGCACCTCACCCTTGAGTGTGTCACTCATAGTTTCTGGGGGTGCAGGTCAAGGCTTTGGTATTTTTTTAAAGCTCTCCAGGTGGTGCTAGTGTTCAGCCAGGGTTGGGAGTCACTAGGCTAAAGCATGCAAAGTGGTGGGAGGTGAAGTTGGAGAGGTAGGTAGGGGCCATATCCTGGAGGGAGATGGAAATCTGTGAAGGTGTTTGAGCCTTACCTGAGGGTGCTGACATCATGGAAGGGTTGAAGGCAAGGGAAGAAGGGGTTCATATTACACTTCAGAAGGAATTACTCTGCCAGCAGTGTAGGTGATGGGTGGGATGGGAGTCACTGGAGCCAGAGAAACTAGTAAAGAGGTTATTACAGTGACCTGAGCAAGAGATGATGTGGTCTGGACCTAGGGTCATGACCGTGGGGATGGAGAAGAGAGATATTCAGGAGGGGCAAGGTTGACAGGACTGGGTGGTGAATCGTGCATCCTGGGTGAAGTAGGGGAGTCAGTTTAGGATGGCTCCAAGGAGCTTGGGTGACTGGGGGGATATTTGTGACATTAATTAGGGAGGGGCAAGGAAAGGATGATTTGGGTTCAGGACATTTTGGGGGATTTGTAGATATTTTTGCATTCAGAAAGTTAGATTGGCAGTTAGAGTTGAGGTCTGACACTTGGAACTGTGCTCTATGTGTACAGAGCAATTGGGAAGTCAACTGTTACTCTTGGCAGTAGCAACCAAGGAGAGTGTGTAACCTCAGAATAAGAGAAGAAGGCCAAGGGTGGTGGAGTCTTTAGGAATCTCAATGTTTAGAGGGGAGTTGAAGCTTCGAGGAGCTGAGAAAGAACTTGATGGGGAATGGCAGAGAGGTAGGAAGAAAGCAGAGAGGGTGATGTCATGAAGCCAAGAAGGAGAGAGTTCTCAGAAAAGAGTGGGGCAACACATTGAAAGTTGTACTGGAGCCAAATAAAATGGAAGGCAGTTCTATACATTCAGGAAAGAACAGTTTTGATGAGACACGGGCTGGGAACCAGACTGTGGTGGGTTGCAGATTAAATGGCAGAGAGATGAGTATAAATACATGCTGGTCCAAGACAGAGAAGCAAGAGATCAGGTGGTACCCAGAGGAGATGTTGGATTGAGCAAACCCAAGACAGAATTAAGTGCAAGAAGTTTATTTTGGAGGTGATCCCAGGAAACACCAGTAGAGGAGTGAAGAAGTGAGACATGAAAGGTAAGAAAGTCAATAAAGTGTGTGCTCAGTGAGCGAGTAATCACTGAGGGAAAATGGAGCTTAATCTCACTGGGTAACTCTGCAAGACAGTACAGACATGCACCTGAGTTATTGTCCATGAGCAGCGAGGGAGCTGGGGTATTTATCCACCAGTTCCTACCAGTCCTTGGTTGAAGGCTGAACCTCAGGGGTTGAGGAAGCATGAGTTCCCAGGCACTTAGCTTGCCAGGTGCATGGGGAGCGTGGGCTCTGGCAACCAGATAAAGTCCTCAGGCGAAATGACAAAGGTGATGGCAATTGGACATTGGATCAACTTAATGCTGACAGTAAAAACTGAGGGGTATGGATAGGGTACTGAGAGCATCTGCTACTGGGGGATTTCATTTTTCCAGACTGAAAATAGTTTGTCATGATTGAATGGTGAGGATGAGGGAGAGGTTGAAAATATAAGTAAGAGAGGACATCACTGGTGGAGAGTGGACCAGGAAGAGATGGAAGGGGTTGTGAGTATGAATGTAAGTGGGGGGTTTGGTTGAAATGATAGGAGGTTGTGGTTGGCAAGGAGGAGACTGGGATTCAAGCTCAAGCTTGAGCATGTCATGATCATGGATGTGGGTGACTGAAGCGGATGGAAAAGGAAGTCCATTGGAATGGGGAGGTTAAGGGCCAGGGAGGTAAAGAAGGGAACTGGTTCATTCACATTTGATGTCGAAGTCCCCAAGGACTTGGGGTGGAGAGGAAGACTAAATCAGCTGCCAAAGTTATTAATGAGTATTAAAGGTCACCGTGGACCCTAGTCCCACTCACAGGGTAGGGTGAACCAGGGGGGTTTGTCAACCACTGGGTCCTGGAGCTGGAAGGAGCCACGTCGTTGAGAAGAACAGATCAGTCTGAATAGGTCTTATCTAATGGGTGAGTCTGGCTGGAAGTTTTGGAAAGAAGTCAGAGGATAGAAATGAAAAGGTGGTACCGAGAGTCTCAAATCCAAGGGGTAAGCAGGAGGCCTTGGACAGGAACCAGGGTTAGGAACCAGGGAAGTCAAGAAGAGGTTGATAGCCAAGTTCAAGATTAGTTGAAGTACGTGGTTCCAGATGAAGGCTGTGGATAAGGAGAGGAAGTAGGAGTTCCTGATTCCTGGGGCAACATGTGTAGTCAAAGAGATGGACCAAAAGTAGAGGATGCTGACCCTGCTTAGCTTTTCTTTGTTCCCTGTTGCTTCCCGCCAAATCGCAGGGCTCCCGGGAATCCGGTTAGCTGACCACTGGTGAAAGGCAGTGAGTTCAAACTCTGGAGTCAGATCAACCTGGGAACAGAGGAAGAAGCTGGAGAACCACATGACTCTGGTGCCACAAAAGCCAAGGGGAGGAAGAGTTTCAGAAAAAGGGTGTGAAACACAGTGCTGAGTATTGCTGAAACTCAGGCAAGGGAAGGAGTAAAATTTTTATGATTCTCTCATGTTCCTGATGAAGAACTTGGAGGACCAGACAGAGTAAATGCTCATATTATTCATACAGCAAGTTGGGGCACAGTCTCCTCTGCTGGTTAGCTATTGTTGTGTAAGAAGGAGCTCCAAAATGAAGACATGGTTGAAAGCTGTGAACACTTATTATTTCTTCCATCCGCAGTTTGGTTGTGTTGTTCTGCTGGTCTAGACCAGGTGTGGCTGATCTTGAGCAGACTCATTCATGGTCAGCTGGTAGGTTGGCCTGGGGCTAGCCGGTCCAGGATGGCTTCAGCTGGGACCGCTTGGCGGTGTTCCCTGTGATCTAATCCTCCGGCAGGCTAGCCCATGGGTTATGGTCCAGGCAGAGGGAAGAGCATGTGCAAAGACCCCGAGGTGAGAGCAAGCTTGGATGTTTGAGGAAGATAGAGGAGACCAGCCTGCACGGACGGGGACGGGATCAGTGGGAGATGAGATCAGGGAGCTAGTGCGGGGCGGTGGGGGGCGGTGGTATCATGAGCACCTTGTAGACCACTGTAAGGACTTTGGTTTTTTTTACTTTTATTATTATCATGAGACTTGTTTTCTGCCCTGCTACCCTGGCTGACTCCAGTGCCTTCCACTCCACGAAAGAGGTTTTGCATTTCATCTGGCTGTGTTGCTGGGGACTCTGCTTCTCCCCTCCCCATGCTGACACATCCTACACCTTGGCCCCACTGCATGATGCAAGACAGCTCAGTGTCACGGGTCCAGAAATCACACCACTCTTGCTCCTAAAATCCCCGTCCTCCAGGACAGGAGGTTATGACCGGCAGGTGACATCTGGCCTGCTGCCTGTTCTTCTAAATAAAATTTGATTGGAACGCAGCCATGCCCATTCATCCACCTGTTGTCCGTAGCCACCTCTGTGCTACCATGACAGAGCCTGAGCCTTGTGCAGAGCTGTGGGGCCCGCAAAGCCTAAAATATTTATTGTCTGCTCCTTCGGAGATAAAGTTAAACCTTCTGGAACCTAAGAGAGAATGCCTTCAATTCTCTCCTGCTTTGAAGGTGGGGGAAGTTCAGGTCGGTGGACTGACCTAAGGGCAGTGGAAGGTGTGAGTGCCTTCCAGCATCTTGCCCCTGTCCTCCCTGCCTCCCTGGGCTGACCTGCAGCCCCTGCTCCCGCACAGAGCGGTGCTTCTCTTGTCTTCGTCTGCTCCGGCTGCTGTAGCAAAATACCGTAGACTGGGCGGCTTCCACACACAGATTCGTTTCTCCCAGTTTTGGCAGCTGGGAAGTCCAAGTTCAAGGTGGCAGCATGGTCAGGTTCCTGGGGAGGCTCTCTTCCTGGCTGGCAGACGGACGCCTTCTCACAGCGTCCTCACATGGTGGAGAGAGAGAAAGAGCGAGGGGGAGAGAGTGAGAGCACATGCTCTGGGGGCTTCCTCTTCTTATAAAGACACCGAAGTCATTAGGGGGTCCCCATCTTCATGACCCTGTCTAGCCTAATGACCTTCCAAAGGCCC